CTTAACAGACATATACAGAATATTCCATCCATCAACCAGCGAATACACTTTTTTCTCAGCAGCACATGGGTCCTTCTCCAAAATAGACTATATGTTATGCCACAAAGCAAGTCTTAGCAAATACAAAAAAAAAAAAATAGAGATACTGAGCTGGGGATACAGCTCAGTTGGTAGAGTGTTTGCCTCGCATGCCCAAGGCCCTGGGTTCAATTCCCAGCATTACCAGAAAAAAAAAAAAAAAGGATACTACCCTGCATTCTATCTGATCATAACAGAATGAAATTAGATGTCAGGGATAAAATTAAAAAATAGAAGCTACTCCAATACCTGGAGACTAAATAATATGTTACTAAATGATGCATGGATAACAGAAGACATTAGGGAGAAGATTAAAAAATTCTTAGAGATACATGAGGACTCCAATACAACACATCAAAATCTCTGCAATACTATGAAGGCAGTGCCAAGAGGAAAAGTTCATTGCATTTAAGCTCATTCATTAAAAGAAGAAAGTCAACAAATAAACAACTTGACATTATATCTCAAAGCCCTAGGGAAAGAAGAACAAACCAACACCAAAAGCAGAAGACAGGAAATAATTAAAATCAGGGCTGAAGGGTATGGAGTAATGGTTCAGTGGTAGAGCACTTGCCTAGCATGTGTGCTTATTTATAAACACCACTTATAAATAAATAAAATAAAGGTTCATTAACAACTAAAAAATATTTTTAAAAAAATCAGGGCTGAAATTAGTGACATTGAAACAAAAGAAACAATTTTAAAAATTGACAAAACAAGCAGCTAGTTCTTTGAAAAAATAAATAAAATTGACAAACCCTTAGCCATCTTAACAAAAAGAAGGAGAAAGAAAACTCAAATTACTAAAATTCATGATGAAAAAGGAAATCATGACAAACACTATTGAAATACAGAAGACAATTAGAAACTATTTTGAAAATTTATACTCCAGTAAAATAGAAAACTTCAAAGACACTGACAAATTTCTAGAGACATATGATCTACCCAAACTGCACGAGGAGGACATACACAATTTAAACAGATCAATTTCAAGCAAGGAAGTAGAAAACATCATCAAAAGCCTACTAACCAAGAAAAGCCTGGGACCAGACAGATTCATAGTTGAGTTCTACAAAACCTACAATGAAGAATTAATACCAATACTCCTCAAATTATTCCATGAAATAGAAAAGGAAGGAACTCTTCCAAACTCATTCTATGTGGCTACTATCATCCCAATACCAAAAACCAGACAAGGACACATCAAGTAAAGAAAATTTAAGACCAATATCCCTGATAAACATAGATGCAATAATTCTCAATAAAATTATGGCAAATTGCATATAAAAACATATTAAAAAATTGTGTACCATGATCAAGTGGGGATCCTTCCAGGGATGCAAGGTTGGTTCAACATATGGAAATCAATAAACATAATTAATTCATCATATCAATAGGCTTAAAGATAAGAATCATGGGCTAGGGATGTAGGTCAGTGGTAGAGCACTTCCCTAGCATGTGTGAGGCAGTGGGTTCGATTCTCAGCACTGCATATAAATAAATAAAGTCCATTGACAACTAAGAAAATATTTTTTAAAAAAGAATCATATGATTATATCAATGGATGCAAAGAAAGCATTTGACAAAATACAGCACCCTTTCATGTTCAAAACACTAGAAAAACTAGATAAAGTAGGAATACACCTCAACATTGTAAAAGCTATCTATGCTAAACCCTAGGCCAACACCATTCTAAATCGAGAAAAAATAGATGCATTCCCACTAAAAACCAGAACAAGACAGGGATACCCTCTTTCACCACTTCTATTCAACATAGTCCTTGAAACTCTAGTCAGAGCAATTCGACAGATAAATTAAATGGATACAAATAGGAAAAGAAGAATTCAAACTATCATTATTTGCTGATGATATGATTCTATACTTAGAGGATCCAAAAAACTCCATCAGAAAACTTCTAGAATTAATTAATGGATTCAGCAAAGTATCAGGACATAAAATCAATACCCACAAATCAAATGCATTTCTATACATCAGTGATGAATCCTCTGAAAAATAAATTAGGAAAACTACCCCATTCACAATAGCCTAAAAAAAAAAAAAAAAACTAAAATACTTGGTAATCAATTTAGCAAAAGAGGTGAAAGATCTCTACAATGAAAATTATAGAACACCAAAGAAAGAAATTCAAGAAGACCTTAGAAGATGGAAAGATCTCCCATGCTCCTGGATAGGCAAAATTAATATCGTCAAAACGGCCATACTATCCAAAGCACTATACAGATTCAATACAATTCCAATTAATATCCCCATGTCATTCTTTTTTTTAATTAGTTACACATGACAGTACAATGATCTTGACAATTCATACATTTGAATCAAATGGGGTATAATTTCTCATTTTTCTAGATATAGAAAAAGCAATCATGAAATTCACTTGGAAAAATAAGAGACCCAGAATAGCCAAAGCAATACTTAGCAAGAAGAGTGAAGCAGGAGGCATTACAGTATCAGACCTTAAACTGTACTACAAAGCTATAGTAACAAAAATGGCATGGTATTGGCACCAAAATAGACATGTAACCAATGGTACAGAATAGAAGATGCAGAGACAAGCCCATATAAACAAAGTTATCTCATACTAGACAAAGGTGCCACAAATATGCATTGGAGAAAAGATAGCCTCTTCAATAAATGGTGCTAGGAAAACTGGAAATCCATATGCAGCAAAATGAAGCTAAACCCCTATTTCTCACCATACAGAAAAATCAACTCAAAGTGGATTATGAACCTAGGAATTAGACCAGAGACCTAATAGGAGAAAAAGTAGGCCCAAATCTTCAAGACTCCTAAAGTGCAAAAATTAAAATCAAGAATCAATAAATGGAATGGATTCATACTAAAAAGCTTCTTTTCAACAAAAGAAACAATCAATGAGCTGAACAGAGAGCCTACATTTGGGGAGCAAATTTTTGCCACAAACACATCAGATAGCACATTAATCTCCAGGATATATAAAGACTCAAAAAACTTAACACCAAAAAATCAAACAACCCAATCAATAAATGGGCTAAGGAGCTGAACAGACACTTCTCAGAAGACGAAATACATATGATCAACAAATATATGAAAAAATGTTCAACATCTCTTATAATTAGAGAAATGCAAACCAAAACTACTCTAAGATTTCATCTCACTCCAGTCAGAATTGCAGTTATCAAAAATACAAACAATAATAAGTGTTGGCAAGGATGTAGGGGAAGAGGCAAACTCATACATTGCTGGTAGGACTGTAAATTGGTGCAGCCAATCTGGAAAGCAATATGGAGATCCCTTAGAAAACTTGGAATGGAACCACCATTTGACCCAGCTATCCCACTCCTTGGTCTATATCCAAAGGACTTAAAAGCAGCATACTACAGTAATACAGCCACATCAATGTTCATAGCAGCATAATTCACAATAGCCAACCTGTGGAACCAACCTAGATGCCCTTCAATAGATGAATGGATAAAGAAACTATGCTATATATACACAATGGAGTATTACTCAGCAATAAAAGAGAGTAAAATTATGGCATTTGCATGAAAATGGATGGAGTTGGAGAATATCATGCTAAGTGAAGCCACTTCCCAAAAACCAAAGGCCAAATGTTTTCTCTGATAAGTGGATGCTAATTCATAATGGGGGTGGGTATGGGATGAGTGAAGGAACTTTAGATGGGGCAAAGGGGAGGGAAGGAAGGGGTTATGGGGGTAGGAAATATGGTAAAATGAAACAGACATCATTACCCTAGGTACATGTATGATTGCATGAATGGTGTGACCCTACTTTGGGTACAACCAGAAAAGTCAAAATGTGCTCCATTTGTGTATAATGAACTGAAGAACATTCTCCTGTCATGTATAACTGAATAGAACAAATAAATAAACTATAAAAATAAAAATAAAGCACAGAAACTCAATTATTGCTAGAATTGACTCATTAAGTCAGTTGCTGTCACAACTAGAATATTCTTTAATTCCATGGCAGTGTTGAATATTTTCAGTTTCTTGTATCATTAGAAATTATTATGCCTCATAAAATTAATAAATGTGAATCAAGTTTTGGCATGGTTTGAAAAAAAAAATAGCTCTAGAGATAGTGATGATGGTCAAAGTGAACGTACTTAATGCCCCTAAATTACACCCCTAAAAATGGTTAAAATGGTAAGTATTATGTTATGAATATTTGAACCCAATAAAAAATTTTTAAACTCAACAATAAGGAACTATCTCAATTAAATAATTGAGAACAGGTTTGAATATACATTACACAAAAGAAGTCACATGAATGTCTAATAAGGATATGAAAAGATGCTCACTCTCTTCAGTCATTAGGGAAATGCAAAGTAAAACCATAAGTTAGCACGATATTAGGGCAATGAACAAAACACAGGGTGACAAAGGTGAGTTTGTAAAGCAGCTTGTGCTTCTATACATTGCTGGTAAGAAAGGAAAATGGTATTACCACTTTGGAAAGCAGGTTTTGGTCACAAATGATTTGATGCCAGATCCTCTATCTGTCTTTTAAAATCTCTATATCACCCCCTCACCTCAAAACTGAAACCCACGAGATCCCAATCAACATGGTCTCTGGAATAGTCAAGAAGGGAAAAAAGTAAACCAAAGATTAGCAGTATAGCCTGTCACATGCATTTGTATCTTCTTTAATATTTACTAAAGTACAAAATACACTAAAGAAGGATGAAGATATGTGTAAAAGAAAAATCTCTTGTAGGAATGCCAGTGCAGATAAAAACAGAAACAAACCTCATATTTCTTTATACAGCTTATAGTGTCATAACCATAATGACGATTTGTTCTTACCCAACAAAAGAAATTACTTGAGCAATAGAAAGCCAGCATGAATTCTGTATTACATATTTATTGCTAAAATAAATGGAAACATTTAGGAATCATTACTATTTGTTGAATGTTAGCATCTTGAACTTCTCTGCATTCTTTATCAACTTTGCGCTTTTTCTCCTTTTCATGCTCACGAAAAATCTGATCTGCTTTCATAAAAGCCAGCAATTGTTTTTTAGATTCTATTTTCCTTTGTCTTTCTTCTTCCTCTTTATTCTTCATCTAAATGTTTAAAGGTAAAAGAAAAAAAAACTATTTTAGCAAGGAGTCCTGTCTGAAAAGGGATGGAATTAGAAAGTTCCAAGTAGAAAGCTGGGAGCCATGCAGCAGCACAAAGTTGGATGCACCTGGACTGACTCCCATGTGGTCACTTTTCTTTAAAAGAAATATGCAAATGTAACTGGGTAATTTTTACTCATTTTTTCTTAAAAGCATCTAAATGTTTTCATACTTCTGTATGTTAAATAAATAATAATCTTTGCATGTTAAGATGGTTCTGAACAGTTTATTACTTTGTATCTATAAATGTCTTATTTATAATTATGTCATTGTTAGAAAGCAAACACTGAATTCAAGAATATAGAAAGATAACTTATACACTGTGTTTCACATCTCTGCTAGTTTGAGATCAGAGAAGCAAAGGGAGTGGAAACCACACAGTGGAAAAGTCTTAATGTATCTACTTTTATTAGTCCTAATTTAATTGTTTACCACAAGGGCTCTATGTTCAGCAATCGCTTTTAAGTCCGCTTGGTTTTTTTCATTTCTTTCTCTTTCTCTTTTCTCCCATTCAGCATCAATTTCTGCAGTATCTCTAGAAATAATCAAATCTTCATTGTCAAGTTTCTCTTTAATTAGTTTACTCAGGGAGTTATTTATTCGTTCTCTTTGTTCCTCCAACAACCTATAAAAAACATATTTTTCAAATCTTTATGAATATTTGTAATGAAGCCAATGTAATTTAATGAGTCTGAAATATTTTAGTCTTCTATAAAACTTAAGAGGAGACCCATTGCTCCCTTTATACATTGATCATTTCAAGTAGAAATTATTTTTTTTATTTGAACCCAGTGGCTAACACATGCTAGGCAAGCGCTCTACCTCTGAGCCATAACCCCAACCCCGAAATTAATTTTTATAATTATAAAGTAACATTCTAAAAATCCAAAGATGGTAATATGTATAATATGGTTGTATGTATGCCTGTGTATATGTAGAAAAAAAGGGGGTGTTAAAAAACTTGCCACATTGGAAATTCTTTCTCTTATATTTATTTTTTAGTTGTAGTTGGACACAACACCTTTATTTCACTTGTTTATTTTTGTATGTGGTGCTGAGGATCGAACCCAGGGTCTCGCACGTGCGAGGCGAGCGCTCTACCGCTGAGCCACAACCCCAGCCCCTGGAAAATATTTTTAAATAGTTGATTAGACTTCCCTGCTTACTCTAACATTGAAGGCTATAAAAGGTATTTTTAAAAATAAGACCTAGGAAATAACTAATAAAGCCTATCAAAATCTGAATAAATCCATCCTCTCACTATACTATGTCTGGAATTTACTGATAGCACTTCATTGACTTGATGTGCTTATATGTTTCTCTCCCTTTATATAACTATGATATTCCTGAGGCCAGAGACTGGAAGAATTCTCTCTTTAGTCCAAGACCACATATGTGTCTAGTAATTCATAAACAATAGACATATTTTGTTAAAGGAACAGAGGGAAAAATAACTGGGCAAAAATCAGTTGTGACAAATTTACTGTTATTGAGAGAATGTGCAAAGTAATGTGTGATAAATAATGAAAAGAGCACAGCATATGTCCCAAAGAAAGTATAAAGTAAAGACATTTATGCAAATAACTACACAGGCAAAGGGTGATACATGCCCTGAGAATGCTAGAAAGCAATACAGACAGGAGATAAAAGGAAGCCTTTGTGAAAGGGAGATGTTTCAGTTAGGATTTCAAAATAATATTTTAAGTACTTTTATTATTGATTGCTTGCTATGTACCACACACTATTCTATGTATCAGCACATTGACTCATCATAGGCTCAAAAACAACAGGGCCAACCAACCATGGACTGAAAACTCTAAAACTGTGAGTCAGCTAGTGAGGTGGCATGCCTGTAATCCCAGAGATACAGAGCCAGCTCCAGCTCATCCCCTGCCCCCTCAGACCAGTATTTTCAACCATCTATCAGAAAGATGTCCCTGAATAATTCCAAGGGTACCTCATGTCACTAAATGCCCTAGTCATATATAAAATGAGACTTTTATTTCTAAAGACTACTTTCACATTATAACTTCAAATTTATTGTGAGACAGTTGCATACAGCACTTTATAGATTATACAAATTATTTCAAAATCCTACCTATGTGTTTCAGCTTCTTTTTCTTTCCTAATTTGTTCAAGACGCTTTTTTGCTTTGATAAATTTTCTACTCTTTTCTTCTTCCTCTTCCTGCTGCTGTTGTATTACAGCTTTGATGATATTTTTATCATGCATATGCTCCTTGGGGAAATAAGTACATGTTATTCTATCACAAAAAGACCTTTCAATATCTCAATATCTAACAAGTACTTGTCAAATGGTCACAACTTATGATCCAGTCAATTCTCTCCTGGAAATTTATCCCAAGAAATTATCAGAAATATGAAAATAGGTTTATGTACCATGAACTTCATTTCAAAGTTACTTAGAATAGCAAAATTTGGAAATGACCTCTAAATATTCAATAACAGAAAAAATGGTTAAATAAATCACAATCTCAATGTTATGAGAAGATACAAATAATTAGTAAGTAGAGAGAAAATGCAAGATATATTATATAGTATATTTCAATTTCACAAATATAAACAAGTACAAGTTTATCATGTATCTATGACTAGAAAAAATGAGTTAAATGTCCATAGTAGTTCTTTCTGGGATATGAGATGATGAGTGGTTTTTATATCTTCTTAATGCCTTTGTATGTTTCTTTTCAAATATCTCATTTCTTCTAAATATATGATTAAAAATAACTATATAGTCGAAGAAAAAAATTAAATATATATAATTTTCATGCAGCTTTTGAATACTTTATATTGTTACATGGTTAAAATTTGTTAAATATTTCAGACAATGGTGTCTTTCTACTTCATTCACTATCTGCCTTTCCTAATCTCCCTTCCAGACTCAATTACTGTTACTAGTTTCTTGTCCAGATTTTATTTATGAAAATATAGACATATGTTCTAACAGACAATTTTAAAATAGGTTACTATTTTTTAAGTAAAAAATAAAATCTGTTCTGGTTTTGATCCCCCAAAGTCTCATGTGTGCAGAGGTGGGGCATGTAGGCAATCAGTGAATCCTGAAGGATTCATCAGTGCATTAATATCAATGGATTAATCCATTGATAATTGAATGGATTCCTGGAGGTAGTTTGAGGAGGTGGCTCACTAGGGACATGCCCTGGAAGGGTTTATGGTTTGTCTGGTTTATCTTATCCCTAGTCTGTCTGTCTGTCTGTCTCTCCCTCTCCTTCCCAGCTCCAGGCCTGAAACCTCTGAAACTTGTAATACAAAATAAAAATTTCCTCCTTTAAGTTCTTTATATCATATATTTTTTTAACAGTAATGAAAAGCTGACTAATATACTGCTCATTTCAGCATACATTCCAAGATCCTAATCTGAGTTCACCATCACAAAAATAGGTGTCTTTGAACACAACAGCCTGGGTATATAGACAGGTTAGTGTAATCTATAGATAGAAACTGTTTTTAGGTGAAAATTGTTAAATACAACATTTCATCTTCCCACATATTTAAAATTCTGGATTTTCTATGTGCCAAGCACTCTTAAGCACTCTTTTATTTGATAGCTGTTACTTTTAAAAGTCTATGATCTGGTTAGGAGATATATTGGTCAATATAAGAACTAATAAAAACACCAAACTGTTAGAAGTGATTATTTTGAATGATTCAAGTTTGATTTTACTATTTTTTCCAAGTTTAATATAATGATCTTTTTACAATAGGAAAAAACATAGAGCTAACACAAAGTTAATCTCATGTTTTAAAAACTGAAATATTTATCTCAGGGTCACATAACTAATAAATGACAGAGTTATCATTCAAAATGAGGTTCATTCCATTTTAAATTTTTGAGAATTAAACATTATTGAACCCATGAATCAAGAACAAGATTTATGTAAAATGATTAATAAGATTACATGAAAAACTTTTAGAAATTAAAATCCACAGCTAAAATTTTTAAATTTGGGGGTCAGAGATATGACTGCTAGAATATTTGCCTAATATGCACAAACTCCTGAATTTGATTCACAGTACTGCTAAAACAGATACATACTAACAGCAACAAAAAACGAAACCACAATAGAAGGTTTAGAACTTTTTATTCAGATAATCTAAAAAATTTACCTCATATGCATCCTTTCTTAGGAAACTACTCAAAAATATATTTCATCAAGATCGGGGGTAAACCAAAAAAAAGGAAGACATTAGACTCAGGAAATAGGAGGTATGGCTTCAGAAAGAGGCACAGAGAAGTCCTAGGATGGCAACGGTACAACAGGCCTAGCAAGCAGTCAGTCCAGAAGGAAGGAAAGATGGAGAACTCTAGATGGGCAAGCTCAAAAAACAAACAAACAAACAATAACAACAAAAAAAATTTAGATAAATTATTACTTAATTAAACATTTAAAAACCAGTATGGGGGGGCTGGGGTTATGGCTCAGTGGTAGAGCGCTTGCCTCACACACGCAGGCCTTGGGTTTAATCCTCAGCACCACATAAAAAGAAAGAAAGAAAGAAAAGAAAATTATTGTGTCCAACTACAACTATAAAAAAATAAATATTAAAAAAAAAACAGTATCAGTATGCACTAGGCAGAACTTATTGAACACATGGAAGAATTGGGGTCATCAAAATTGATTTTAAAAAGGTCAAAGAAATTGAGTCATAAAAGCAAATGAAAACAAAGACAATTATATATTAACCATAGAAAAAGAAACATTTCTATAATCAAAGAAATATAATCAAAATGTTAGTTGGCTCAGCATAGAAAAATATTTATAAATTCATAATAATGACTTAAGTATAATTACAACAATTATTTAGGGGGTACAAAGGAGAAAGGGCAGTAAAGAGCGAAATCCTTAACTATCAGGGAGAAAATGTCTAAAACTGATAAGAAGAAACAGCTAAAAGAACCTGAAATGTTAGCCTCCAGGAATCAGAAGAGATGTAGCAAAGAACTGCTACTCTTCTTTTAAGTGATATATTATGTACTACTTAAGAATGAAAACTAATTTTAAAAAAATATAGAAAATTATTAAATTACAACATTTACTTAGCACATGTTACCATTTACTTAGCACATATCAATAGCATAGAAGATATCAAACATAAAACACCTCATTTATTCCTCACAATTTTCATTTTAAGGATAAGAAATCATTTAAAAATATCTCATTCCCTTTCTTCAGGCATGAGAGAACATACACATGAAGTCATAGGAAATATAGCGCCCCAAAAGTATGCATTTGCTTAGAAATACAACTTAATTGCAACTTGTTTTCTACTCCATTATTATTTTTTGATATATTAAAAGTTAGGCATTTGACTCTCTCTGTATCTTTTAACATTTGCATTTTCAACTTACAAAAAACAGTCTCCTGTTTTCTTCAATATCGTCTTTTTTCTTTTTTGCTTTTTTTTTCATTTCTATTTCATATAATAAATTCTGACGCTGTATCTCCTCGGCATCTTTTTCTTCAAGTTTTTTCCTTCTTTCTTCTTCCTCTTCATGTTCCTTTATTCTTAAGCAAAAACATAAGTATAACTGAGTATAAATCATAAAAATAGGTTATATTTTAAAGAAATGAATAAGATTCTAACGTAGGATGATTTGAAGCTATAAGAATGAATCTGTGAATTTCTTTGGGAAACATAATGATAAGTAGTGACTAAAACAAATCTAAACAGTCCAGAATTGCCAATATTTTCCTTTCTTCAAAAGTTGTTTCACTCCTAACCTAAATATGGTCTATACCAGATTCAAGTATTCCTTTTCTTTAGAAAGAACCAGTTAACTGAATGACAGTAAAGGGGAATGGTAATTTTATTTTACAGAAAAGTTCATAATCTCTAGTGCTTCTCAATTTCACTACAAGTTGATGCTGCATAAGCTACAGGTTGAGCCCCTTAGGTGATGAGGTTTTTTTTGTTTGCTTGTTTTGGGTACTTTGGATTGAACCCAGGGGTGATCAACCACTGAATCACAAGTGATGGGGGGTTTGATGGAAAGAGAGAAACAAAACTCTCTTTATCCAACTGGCTACTTTGGTTGTCACTCTTTTTGTAGCCAACACTGACTAGATATTAATATCTACTAATTGGTAAGCCTCCAATGGCTGGCTGACTCTCTGAGATTATGTGTGGGTTGCTGCTCCAGGAGATTGATCTCCAGCTCCACCTCTTCAACTCACCTCCCAAATCCATCACCATCACTACCAGGAGCTCTCACCACCAGTTGTTTATAGCATATTCTGTATGCCAGAGGCCCCTCATCTGGCAGCCAATTCTGCACACTGGCAAGACTGCTCATGCCCAAGATGTCTACCTGCCCATGGAAAGCTCATGCATCCTTGTCGGCCAGTCAATAGGTGTACAGCCTGTTCTACTGACATTCTTTCTGCCACCTCTATCATTATTTTTCTTCCTGAACAGGTAGGCACAAGGTAAATCAACAATGCAAACACACAAACAACTGAGGAATAAACTTTCCTTCCATAGGTACTGAATCAGACCAACATTTTTCCTAGAGTCCTTTCACACAGCTTTAGGGAGAGGAAAATCCCTTTCCCCTGTGCCACACTGTCCTATGTGGTTAAGTGAGCCAGTAAATCCAGGACAGGATATTTGTCATTGACTCATCTGAACAGAGTAGGTATCTGTAAAGTCAGACTCATTCTCTTTAGGGGGGACTAAGAAAAAGGTCACTGTTGGCCATAGCTGAACCAGATTTAAGATTGCCTGAAAAAATTAAATTTCAAATATTTATTTGCTTATTTGTTTTGTTAATACTATTTAATATTTTATGTCTACATTTTTGAAGTTTCAAAATTGCTTCTTTAAGGGAAAACAAGATATTAAAAAAATGCTACTTGACATCTTAGCAAATCTGGGAATCATTAACATGATAGCTAGGTATCCATTGGATAATTCATTGTTTAGGTAAAAACAAATACTTATTCTGGGAATAAATTAGAACAAAAACATGTCTTGTGTCGATTAAAAGGTAATATATTACCAATCACTTTCATAATAATTTATAATATTAAAATTTTAATTACTTATAAATAAATACTTTATATTAGTTTGGTAGTTTGGATAGACCACTCAATTATTTAATTTGGCTTAATGCAGAGTTAGTGTGTTAGAGGAAACCTGAGATCCTCCAGCCAAGGAATATTCAATATTCATATCTTTACATGCAACTCTCATGCCCACAGCAGATGCTGATAAATAACACATAACTCCTTCCTGTTGAGTCCTGTTTCTTATCAACCCTATGCAATGGACAGTCTTTATCAAGGAATCGTGAAAGCTCTTTGCTATCTCTGACTCACATTCTGAGGGTCCTAAATCTGTATTTTGAACCCAGGGGTACTTAACTACTGAGCCACATCCTCAGTCCTTTTTTGTATTTTATTTAGAGTCAGGGTCTCACTGAGTTGTTTAGGGCCCATTAAATTGCTGAGGCTGGCTTTGAACTCGAAATCCTCTTGCCTCAGCCTCTTGAGCCTCTAGGATTACAGGCATGTGACACCACACCTGGCCAGATATGATTCTTGAGCAGATACAAATCTCTTATAGTTCTCCTATAAAAGCAGGAGGGACCTCTACTCCAAATTTGGTCCAAATGTCAAGATTGATGACACTCCATGCACCAAGAGAATTTGAGAAAGTGTGTTCACACAAGATAACTCCCCAGGAGAGCTGGGCAGGTTCAAGTACGTCTTGATTGTCTTGGGCAAAGCAGAGAGTGGATTTGGGCCTGTAATGTGGACCAGAGGCGGGACTCAGGGAAAGTTTCTGCGTGTTTCCCACCAGTGTCAAAGGAAGAGGAGGTGAGACCAGAGGGCCTTAACAGCCCGTCTAGTTGTGAAACTAAAGTGAAAGGGAGAGGTAAGACCTATAACAAAGTTGGAAGTCAAACATAAAAAATTAAGTCTAAGGCTAGGGTGTAGCTCGGTAGTAGAGTACTGCCTAGAATATGGGAGGACCTGCGTTTCATCCCCAGCATTTTTACACACACACACACACACACACACGCACACACACAAAAAAAGTCTATTACAAGTTATTTCAACTGATAAGCTTGATTTTTGTTTTAATTTTCTTTCTTTCTTTTCTTTTTGGACCAGGGATTGAACCCAGGGGTGCTTAACCACTGAGCCACAATCCCAGCCTTTTTTTGTATTTTATTTAGTGCCTGGGTATCACTGAGTTGCTTAGGGCCTTGCTAAGTTGCTGAGGCTGGCTTTGAACTCACAATACTCCTGCCTCACCCTCCTGAGGCGTGCACCACCACACCCAGCTAATTTTCTTTTTTGAGCTGGGATTTCACTATGTTGCCCAAGGTAGCCTGAAAATCATGGGATCAAGCGATCCTCCTGCCTCAGTCTCCCAAGTAATTGGGACTACAGATGAGTGCCATGCCCAACTGATAAGCTTGATTCTTATAGAGACAACCCACTAGGAATCATTAACTGGCTACTGCATAGATACATTACATTCTTTATGTCTAAAACCAAATTCATCATTTTCCCCTTCTAAACTAATCTCCTTGATGTTTCCTCTCTCTCTCCTTTCCAATAACAGGGATCAAACTCAGGTCCTTGAGCATGCTAGGCAAGCACTCTACTACTGAGCTGAACCCCAATCCTCCTTTTCTTATTTTGGTCATTAGTGCCACCATCTTTTCAGTTGCCCTAAGAATCATACAAACATTTCTATAATCCTTACAACTCTTGTTCAATTATCTAATAACTATTTATTGAATTTCTACTAAAATTATAAAGCAGGTGGCTTGGGTGTGGCTCCCATGTATGAGGTAATGGGGATTGAACTCAGGGGCACTCAACCACTAAGCCACTTCCCCAGCACTATTTTGTTTTTATTTAGAGACAGGCTCTTACTGAGTTGCTAGTGCCTCATTTTTGCTGAGGCTGGCTTTGAACTCACAATCTTCCTGCCTTAACCTTCCCGATCACTAGGATTACAGACATATGGTACCATGCCCATCTCTCCATTTTATTTTAAATGAATGGAAAGTCATTGAAATGTTGAATGTGGGAGAATAATAAGATCAATTTTCACTTTTACAGGATCTCTGTAGAAGATAATTAAAGAAGGGATTGAGAAAGCAGAATATCATCACATAATTTAGAGACTGATGCAATAATCCATGAGCTATATGAGGGTGGCTTAGACTAAAATGATAGCAGTAAATTCAAGATTTGTTTTGGATAAATTAACATGAATTGCTTTTAGTGAGATGTGCAAGATTAAGATATGCAAGATAAAGGAAAATGAGAAATCAAGGTGGATTCCTAGTTTCTGGTTTGAAAAACTGGGTGGATAAGGATGCCAATGGAAAATCCACTGCAGGGGTGGGGAGTCCATATTCTGTGTTAGACTTGTGTTTAAAATACCTATGCCACATCAACATGAAGATATCATGAACATAACTGAGGATCATGTGCAATGGGGTGGCTCAAGGAAGTGGTCTAGACTAACCAAACTTAGGATGGCATTTAAATCTATAAGATAGATGAGATCACTTGAGCCCTCTTTTCTCTTTCTACCCTTTCCCTAGATGATCTTACCAGGGAAAAGTGGTGCAAACTATCCTACTGATGATTTTTCCTTCTTTTGAAAAACTGATAGTATTGATAGTAATCTGAGTCTTTTATAAACAAGGCCTATGAGCCTCTTTCTAAGAGAAGGACTTTACTATCTATAGAAAGAATGAGAGCTATTGTAGCACCAACAGATACTGTTAAGTTTATTTTAGTAATTATGTTTAAGGTTCATGGTGAAATATCTCTATTTGGAGATGGTGATGTCACCATGGTTGCTTATTTGCCTTATCCCCATCAGACTATTAGTCACAGGTAGACTCTTACACTGTTCAACGCCCCACAGTGGAACAGCCTGCTCAGGTCTGGAGCCTAGGAATTATTTATAAAGTAAGAAAAATCTCAACTTTAGGCACACTAGAAAGAGTATCAGAAGTTGTACGATGTGTTTCAGTAATTGATTGATGAGTAAATAATTATCCCAAAATGAGGTGGCTTAAGACAGTGGTCATTCATTGTCTTATACCATTTTTTTGAGTCAGGAACCTGGGAGTGACTTAGGTGGGTGGTTCTCAAAGAGTTTCAGACAAGATGTCAGTTGGGGCTGTAATCATGTGAAGACTTGATCGAAGCTGGAAAAATCCACTTTCACATATCTGTTGCAGAGACTTCAGCTCCTTGCCTAACCCTAACCCTTAACCCTTAAAGGCAAAACCTTTAAGAAGTATAACCTAGTGAGAGGTCCTTAGGACATTGGGAGTATGAGGGAATAAAGGGGTTTTTATGGAATCTACAGTTAGTTCTCTCTAGAGAGAATTATTCTGGAAGCCTGATCTACATCCCCAATCCTCCTTTTTTTCTCCTTCTATTTTGAGACAGGATCTCACTAAATTGCCCAGATTGACCTCAAATTTGCAGTCCTCCTGCCTCAGCTTTCCAAGTCACTGGGATTACAAGGTGTTCACCAGGGGGACCAGCTTGAACGTTTCCTAGATGGAACATAAGATACATAAAAAAAAAAAAACAACTAAAACAAGCCTGCTTGAACTTCTGACCTATTGCCAACACCACAAGAAAAGGGGATTCTGTAGCCAAACACAGTTTACATACAAGGATATGGGTAGGCAGACAGCCCGTGAAGATGTTAGTACTTGCCAAGTAGCTTGATGGAGGTTAGGCTGCTAACTTTATCTCCAAGTCACAATATAGGAAGAAAGATTTCTTTTTAAAAAAATTTATTTTTAAGTTTTAGGTGGACACAATATCTTTATTTTACGTTTATGTGGTGCTGAGGATCGAACCCAGTGCCTCATGCATGCTAGGCAAGCACTCTACCACTTAGCCACAACCCGAACCCCAGAGAGAGATTTCTTAACTACAGGAGACTCACTTGTCAATTACTTGCTTCTCTCTGCCAATGGCTCCATTTCTAACTTGTATAAACCCTTAGATCTATAATAAAAATTAAAATAAATAAATAAATTTAAAAAAAACCCTTAGATCTTTACACTGCTAAATAAAAAAAAAATTACAACAAATCCAAAGGTTTCTCTTCTTTTTTTACAAAGGACAGGAATAACTGAAAATGATACGTAGACATTTGTGACTCTGTTTGCTTTTCTTTTTCCTTTTGCATTGCTGAGGATCAAAACAGAGCTTATGATGCAAACACTCTGCCACTGTACTATAACCCGAGTCCTGACATCTGTAATTAATAATTATAAATATGACATACAAGTAAGTTAAAAAAGCATTTAATAAAATGATATTGTTAATCCAATTTCATTTTATAAAATGTGAGTATATACATTTAAAGAAACAAATCTGTATCAGTAGATCAATGATGGCCATGGGCAAGGGGTAAGGGAGAAAACTTATGTAAAGGGTCATGAAGGAAACTTTTTAGGTTAATGAAAATATCTTGATGTAGGTGGTGATTGTGCAGCTATATACTTTGTGTGTGTGTGTGTGTTTGTGTGGTGCTGGGGATTGAAACCAGGGCCTTGGGCATGCAAGGCAAGCACTCTACCAACTGAGCTATATCCCCAGCTCCAAGCTACATATTTTTTTAAAAAAGATGAATTTTACTAAATGTAAATTATATGTCAATGAACCTGATGTCTCCACCATCAAAAAATGTCTAAGACAGGGCTCAGGTTGTGGCTTAGTGGTGGAGTGCTCCTCTAGCATATGTGAGACACTGGGTTCGATCCTCAGCACCACATAAATGTAAAATAAAGATATTGTGTCCACCTAAAACTAACAAATGAAAAAGAATTTTTTAAAAAATATCTCAGACAGACATGATGTCACAGCGTAGTTGCAAACACTCAGAAGACTGAGGAGAGAGGATCATTTGAACCCACATGTTCAAGACTAGCCCAGTCAATATAGCAAGATTCCAGCCAAAATAATAAAAATAAATTCCTGTTCTCGATTAGATTACTGGTTTAAAAAAAAAAAAAAGATTCATTACCCCTCACCACTTCCAAGGGGGTCTATTTCTCTGTTCTACTGCTGTTAAAATTGGCCACGTGACTGGCTTTAGACTTGTGTTATACCAAAAGGACCTTCTTTATCTTTTTGTGGTACTCGGGGTTGAATCCAGGGCCTCTCACATGCTAGGCAAGTGCTCTACCACTGAGCTACATCCCCAGTCCTTTTTAAAAATGTTATGTTGGAGCAGGGTCTAGCAAAATTGCCCAGGTTGTCCTCCAATTTGCAATCCTACTGCCTTAGTCTTTTAAGTAGCTGGGATTACAGGCATGCACCACCATGCCCAACCCTCTTTATTCTTTGACTTTAGGTTTGAGCACATTGTTACAAGCTTATTTTCTTGTACGTCTCTCAACACCATGAGATGAGTTTACCCTAGGAGGCTTCTTCATCCTCAACCTCAAAATGAAAAGACATGGAATAGATCAGAATCCTCCCCACAGCCCACAGCAATGAGCAAACTCAGTCCTGCTGCTTAAACAAAAGCTGCCCAGCTAAATCCAGCCTAGGGCACCAACCACACTCAACCAACAGATGCATGAAAAGTAAATTTTTTTTTTTTTAAATATTTATTTATTTATTTATTTTTTAGTTTTCGGCGGACACAACATCTTTGTTTGTATGTGGTTCTGAGGATCGAACCCGGGCCGCACGCGTGCCAGGCAAGCACGCTACCGCTTGAGCCACATCCCCAGCCCCCAGTAAATGTTTATTGTTGAATGGAACTAGGATATATCATTGTTTGTTATGCAGCATTACTACAGCAATTGTAACTGACATGTAATTTAGGAGTGACAGTGACTTTTAACATTTTTTTTTTTGCAGTGCTGAAGATCAAAATCAGCATCTTTCTAAGATGATACGCAAGTATTCTATTAATACATCCCCAGCTCCCTACCCTCTCTATACTTTTTCTATTAAGTATTTTAGCCTCTATTACTTTCATTGTCAGGGGGATAAAAAAGCAATATCCATTATAAGAAAAAGTTTTTAAAAAGTTAATTTATGTATACATACTGTTTTAGATGATCATTGGCAAGAGCTATTCTTTCTCTGTGTCTTTTTTCTGCTTTTTCTTGCTCTTCTTTAAAAGCCATTTCAATGTTGAGTTTCAATTGTTCTTCCCATTTTTTATCTGATTTTAAATTACTCTTTTGGAATTCAATCTGGGCATCACGTTCCTTCATGACTCTACTGAGAAGAAGTCCTGACTACAAAAAAAAAAAATGCAGTATTTTAGGAAAATAATGTCTAATTTGTATACATATGTTAAAATATATATGTATATACAAAAAGAGAAAACTCAAGTAATACATGAAAGTGTTTCATTCTTTCTGTTTGGTAAAACTGATACTGCTTTGCATGTTCAATGGCCTTTTTTCTTTCTCCTTGTTTGTATATTTCTTCTTCTATATCAAGAATTTTTCTTTCTGCCTCAATTTCTTCATCACGCTTCTTTTTAGCTTTAAGTTTCTGTTGTTTCATCCCCTGTAAAAAAAGAAAAAAGAAAACTTTTATCTTATTCCAGTGCTGGGAATTGAACCAGGGCCTCACACATGTTAGGCAAGTGCTCTACCACTGCACTATACCCCTAGCCCAAAAGCAATCTTTTGTTTTCATTGTCTATTTAATTTTACCAAAATTTAACATTATAATTTGAACTTTCATCATAAGATTTTATTGTATTTTCTTATTTCACTAATAATCACAAGGTTACATTTTGGACCTAATTGTGTGTGTGTGTGTGTGTGTGTGTGTGTGTGTGGTGGGGTAGGGGTAGATATGGGCAATCAAATCCAGGGCCTTGGCATGACAGATAAGTAATCTACCAGAGTTACATTCCCAAATCTTTTTAAAATTTTATTTTGAGAGAGGGTCACATTAACTTGCTGGCCTCAAACTTGAAATTCTCCTACCTCAGCCTCCTAGGTAGTTGAGATTAGGTATGCATCACCACACCCAGTAGAAGCTTTTTTTTTTTTTTTTTTGTGGTGCCAGGATTGAACCCAGGGCCTGGTGCATAGTAGACAAGTGCTGTACCACAGAGCCACATCGCAGCCTTGGAGCTAATTGTTTAAATTGAATTGTTTAGGAAGGTAACATATTTACATGGCTCAAAATCCAAAATTATTTTAGAAGTATATAATACTTCTTCAACCCTAACTTCCAATCTCCTCTTAGTCTATGATAACCACTATTACTAGTTTTGGTGTTTGTACTTCTAAAGTTTCTCTTGGTGGTTATATAATAAATATATATCTTATAGCTTTTGCTTCTTTATTTTTTTTAAAGAGAGAGTGAGAGAGAGAGAGAGAGAGAGAGAGAGAGAGAGGGAGAGAATTTTAATATTTATTTTTTAGTATTTGGCGGACACAACATCTTTGTTTGTATGTGGTGCTGAGGATTGAACCCGGGCCGCACGCGAGCGCGCTACCGCTTGAGCCACATCCCCAGCCCACTTTTGCTTCTTTAAAAAACTGACAGTAGAACTGGGTGTGGTGGTGAATGCCTATAATCCCAGGTAGTGGGGAGGCTAGAGCAGGAGAATCATAAGTTCGAGACAAGCCTGGGCAACTTAGCAAGACCCAGTCTCAGAATATAACTTTAAAAGGGGATGTAGCACAGTGATAGGGAGCTTGCCTAGCATGTATGAGGGCTTGGGTTAAATCACTAGTACCCCACATGCACACACACACACAACTAACTAAAAATAATGGCATATTTTGTATGTTCTTCTACACCTCTGAGTTTACTGAATGTCTTATGTCATTCAAGGTCTTTCTTCTCCTTTATTGGTCACACTTTCTATTTCTTAAGAAAATCCTACTTGTCCTGATTTCCTAATGAGAATCTATGACCTATGCTTAAATTTAGGTCTTTAACTCAGTTAAAATTCATTTTTCTGTATTCTGTACCATTGGGATATAATTTAATCGCTGTCATATGTCAGTTACCTGAGTACCAGTTATGGAATGCTTTCCCTTCTAATTTGGAATAACATTTCCATCATCTGCAAGTTCCCACATATAAAATGGGTTTCTAGGCTGTCTCATCAGACTTATTATAATCTCTGTGCTTATATCACAGTTTTTTTTTAAATATTTATTTATTTTTTAGTTCTTGGCGGACACAACATCTTTGTATGTGGTGCTGAGGATCGAACCTGGGCCGCATGCATGCCAGGCGAGCACGCTACCACTTGAGCCACATCTCCAGCCCCTATATCACAGTTTTAACTGCTATGGGTCTATAGTAAATCTTGCTGATAGTAAGCTGGACCTTCATTTATTCTTCTTTAACACTCATGGAGTGAGTGTTAAAGTAGCACTAACGTGTTACTTGAGTATACAAACAAAATAAAAGGTATATAGCATTACTCCATCCATTTATGTAGTAGTTTTTTTAAAATCAAGACTTTTAGATTATAATGTACATACTACCTTTTATTATTTCATATTACATATGAAATACATATTATATATTCATTTATAGAACATTTTAATTCTCCCCCCAAATTTCCCTATGGCCCATTACAATCAACTCCTCCCCACGCCTGCAGCCTTTGGCAACCACTAATCAGTTTCCTTTCCCTTTTTCAGAATGCCATTTGTTACATATATGATACCAGACATGATCTAACTCATCTCTCCTCCAGGAAAAAAAATTAGTAAAATATGAATAATATTCCTAAAGCAACATACCAGAAGCTATCTAGTCTTTTTCCAAATATAAATAATATATATTTCAACTAAGTAAAGAAATGTTCAAAAAAAAAGTGAGAATTCTCTAAACAGAACTTACACTTACCTATAGTTTTAACAATTCTATTAGAACACAGAAAACAATTGTGCCTCCCTGTGCCTCGAATGATATAAGAAAGTGTGTGTGGGGATAACCTTTTCCCAGCATTTCTCCCCATATGAGATAACAAAAGGAATCAGGGGATGCCTTCCCACTTTGAAGTAGTTTTCATTCAAGTATATGGAATTAAACTGGGTTACTGTTATCTCCTAGGTAAAGGGAATCTAGAAGAAACAGAGAAGCACAGCAAGGACACTATGAATTTTTTTAATATTTATTTTTTAGCTTTAGGTGGACACAATATCCCCATCTTATTTTTTATGTGGTGCTGAGAATCGAACCCAGCACCCCACGCATGCTAGGTGAGCACGCTACCACTTGAGCCACATCCCCAGCTCGTCACTATGAAATTCTAAAGAGAAAGATAGGCAAGCAGACAAGACAAGTAAGAGGTAGATGATGAAAACCTGCCATGATAATTTCAAGCCCTCTTTCTGTGCAATCTTGCATTTTAAACATAAAACAGCATTACTCTGATAACAAAACCAAACATTTCATGAAAACTATAGACCAACATCCTTCATGAACATAGCAGAAAAAACCAACAATATTTTAACAAACTGAATCTATAAAAAGGAAATACATCATGACCAACAGGGGTTTATTCCAGGAATGTAAGCTTGGTTTAAGATTTGAAAATATTGGGCTGGGGTATGGTTCAAGCGGTAACACACTCGCCTGGCATGCACGGGGCGCTGGTTCGATCCTTAGCACCACATAAAAATAAAATAAAGATGTTGTGTCCACTGAAAACTGAAAAAGAAATATTAAAAAATTATCTCTCTCTCTCTAAAAAAAGGAAAAGAAATCAATATATCATAATTAACAAACTGGAAAATAAAAAAAAAACATAATCATCTTAATAGAGAGCACCAAAAAGCACTAAAAAAAAAAAAAATCCAACATCCAAGCAGGGTACAGTGGCACATGCCAGTGATTTTGATAGGCTGAAGCAGGAGGATTCTCAAGTTCAAGGCCAGCCTCAGCAACTTAGTGAGGCCCTAAGCAACTTAGATGCTGTCTCAACAATAAAAAATAAAGAGGACTGGGGATGTGGCTCAGTGGTAAAGCACCCCTAGGATCAATCCGCAGTATAAAAAAAACAAATAAAAAAACCCAAATCTATTCTTGATTTTAAAAGAACCAACAAAACTCAATAATTTAGGTACAGAAAGCAACTTCTTCCACTCAACTTGAAACATGTACAAAAGACCTAAACTTAGCTTGCCTAGTGTGTGCAAGGCCCTGGGTTCAATCCTCAGCACCATATAAAATAAATAAATAATAAAACTAAGGTATTGTATCCAACTACAACTAAAAAAAATAAATATTTTTTAAAAGATTAGGAAAATGACAAGAATATTCATTTTTACTTTATTTGTTCAACATTGTATAGATGGTTCTAGCCAATGCAATAAGTGAAGAAAAAGAAATAAATGGTACCCAGATTGGAAAGAAAAATGAAAAACTGATTGTATTTTCTGATGCATGACTGTCTATGTGGAAAATCTCACAGAAGTTTTAAAAAAAACTTACTAGAACAAGTGAGAATTGCAACATTGAATGATATAAGGTCAATACAGAAAAAAATAATTATATTTCTATAGCTAACAATAATAGAAAATTGAAATTTTTCAAAATACCATTTTACTATAGCATCAAAAATAACAAATGCTTAGGGATAAAAACTATGAAATATTTTTATGTTTTATATAAAATTAAAGACAAATAAATGGAAAGATTCAATATTGTCAAAATGTAAATTTTCTCCAAATTGATCTAAAATTGAACACAATCCCAATCAGATTTCCAGATGCCTTTTTTTTTTTTTTTGCAGGAATTGACACCCAGATTCTAAACATCATAAGGAAATGTAAAAGACCTAGAATAGCCTAAACAATCTAGAGATGTAGTTCAGTAGTAGAGTATGTGCTAAGCATGCATGAAGTCTTGAGTTCAATCCTCAGTACCACCAAAACAAACAAACAAAAAACCCCACAAAGTTGAAAGACTGATACTACCTGATTTCAAGACTTAACATTAAATCTACAGTTATGAAGACTGTGTTATTGGAGTAATGACAGAAGAATACATCAACAGAATTGAATCCAGTAATTTCACCTACACCTATGAAGGAACTGGGTTTTCTTTTGTTTCTTCTTCTTCTTCTTCTTTTTCTCTAGCTCCCCACCCCATAGTGGTAGGACTCAAATCCAGGGCTTCATGCATGCCATGCAAGTGCCCTACCATTAAGCCACATCCCCAGTCCAACAACTAGATTTTCAACAAAGGCAATTCACTGAAGAAAGGATAGTTTTTTCAAAAATTATGCTGTAACAATTAGCTATTCATGTGCAAAAAATTTCAATTAACACCTCACTACATATAAAAAATTAACTAAAAATAGCCCATAAACCTATATGTGAAACAAAATTTTAAGACTCTAGGAGAAAATCTTGGTGATCTTAGGTTAGGTAAAGATTTTTTAGATAAACTTTTAAAGAATAATTCATACAAGAAAAACTGATAAACTAGACTAAGATTAAAAACTTCTGCTGGACATGGTAACACACGCCTGTAATCCCAGAGGCTAGGGAGGCTGAGGCAGGAGGTTCATGAGTTCAAAGCCAGCCTCACCAAAATCGAGGTGCTAAGCAACTCAGTGAGACCCTGTCTCTAAACAAAATACAAAAGAGGGCTGGGGATGTGGCTCAGTGGGCAAGTGCCCCCTGAGTTCAATCCCTGGTACCAAAACAAACAAACAAAAGAAACCAAACAAACTTCTGTTCTTAGCTAGATGTTACAGTTTAGATATGAGATATCTGCCCAAAAGCTCATGTAGCAATGCAGAAATGTTCAGAGGTAAAATTATTACATTATGAGAGCTATAACCTAATCCATTTGATGGATTAATAATTTGAATGGATTACTGGATGGTACTAAAGAGAGGGTAGGGCATGGCTAGAGGAAGTTGGTATGTCCTTGGGGATTATATTTTATCCCTGGTCCTTTGTTTTCTCTCTCTCTCTCTCTCTCTCTCTCTCTCTCTCTCTCTCTCTCTCTCTCTCCACCTTAGTCCCTACCTCTCTCTAATAGTTGCTCTAGCTGAGCAACTATTCTCCACCATGCCCTTCTGCCATGATGTTCTGCCTCATGTTAGGTCCAAAGCAATGGAGCTGCCTGACTATACACTGAATCTCTGAAATGTGAGCTAAAATAAACTTTTCCTTCTCCAAGTTGTTCTTGTCAGGTATTTTGGTCACATTGGCAAAAACCTGACTAACACACCAGGCCTGGTAACACATACCTATAATCCCAGCTACTTGGGAAACTGAGGCAAGGGATCAAATGAGCCTATAAGTTCAATTCCAGCATGGCAATATAGCAAGACCTGTCTCAAAACAAAACAAAATAATATTTTTTGCTCTTCAAAATATAAGGTAAAGAAATGAAAAGCCAAGACACATACAGGGAAGAAATATTTTCAAATAAAACACTTAATAAAGGATTTAATATCTAAAAAAAGGACAGAATGCATTTTTAAATTCTCTAAACTCAATAATAAGAATTCAACCCTAATTTTAAAACAGGCAAAAAATTTGAATAGACACTATACCAAAATAGATGTACTGGTAGAAAATAAGTTAATTAAAAGATATTTGGACTGGGATTGTGGCTCAGGAGTAGAGCGCTTGCCTCTTACGTATGAGGAACTGGGTTCTATCCTCAGCACCACATAAAAATAAATAAATAAAATAAAATAAAGGTATTGGGTCCATCTACAACTAAAAATATATTTAAAAAAAGATATTCAACAACATCTGTAATCAGACAAATTCAAATTTAAACTACAATAGGATACTTAACACCCATTAGCTCTTATGCACTAATGGTGGAAATGCAAAATTACAACTCCATTGGGATAACATTTTGGAAGTTTCTTACAAAGTTAAATATACATCTGCTGTTTAATTTAGTCATTCTACGCTAAAATATTTACTCAAGAGAAATGGAAATGTGTGTGCATGTGTGAGTTTATGTGTGTGTGTATACATATATATATGTATGTATATTTTTTTCCCCAGTACTGAACTCAAGGGTGCTTTACCACTGAACTACATCTCTAGCCCTTTTTAAAATTTTTATTATTTTTAAAAAATATTTATTTTTTAGTTGTAGCTGGACACAATACCTTTATTTCACTTATTTATTTTTATGTGGTGCTGAGGATCGAACCCAGGGTCCCGCACGTGCGAGGCAAGCACTCTACCGCTGAGCCCCACAGCCCAAAATTTTTATTATTTTGAGACAGAATGTGGCTAAATTGCTTTGGGTCTTGCTAAATTGCTAAACTATAATCCTCCTGCCTCAGCTTCCCAAAATATTGGGATTACAGGCATGCACCACAGTGCATGATTTACATATAGACTTGTATATGAATGTTCACAGCAATTTTATTTGTAATAGCCATAAAGAAAGAAAGAAAGAGACCAAGAGAGAAATAACTCAAATAGCAACATTTGGTTGCTGTCAAACCATCAACCAGCAACTAGATAAACAAATCATTATGTATCATACAATAGAATACTACTTGGCAATAAACAGCCAGGTGCATGAGGGTATGCACCTGCAATTCCAGCAACTCAGGAGGCTGAGGCAGGAGGTTTAAAACTTGAAGCCAGTCTCAGCAACTTAGTGAGATCCTGTCTCAAAATAAAAAATAAGAAGGACTCAGGATGTAATTCAGTGGTAAAGCACCCTATGTTCAATCCCCAGTCCAAAAATAAAAATGAATAAACAATTGATATACACATTATATGAATGAATCTCAAAGTAACTATGGTGAATAAAATTTACATTAATAAGATAAGTAGGGATGGAAAGAAGAAATAGAAAGAAGTCAGAGGGAGTAAAATAGGACATGAGAAAACTTTTGGGCGATGAATGTGTTCATTATATTAATTTTAACAATGGGTTTGGGGCATATACGTATATCAAAACTTATCAAAATGTAAACTTTAAATATGAATTGTTTGTTGTATGTCACTTATACCTAAATAATGCTTTTAAAATATGTTTCAATGTTATTTTATGACAGTTTACACATAAAATCCTGGTAAAAGAAGTATAAATGAATATTAAGAAACAAGAGCAAGTCTTTAGTGCGTGTGGACTCCTAGAAGATTAATACTTACTGCATATGTATTAGTCCAGTGTTTTACCACTTCTTGGGATCGTAAATGCATTTCTTTCTTTGCTTTTCTTTCTGCACGAAAAGCTGCTGCTTCTCTTGTCATACTGTCCAGGCTATCCTGAATTCTTTTCCACTCATCATGTGAAATTATGGTGACCTGCCGTAGATCTACGTTGCAAGGTAGAAGAGGTGGATAGGCAACTTCATCTTCTTTAGACTTCCTTATTTCTAATAAATTTAAAAAAATGATTACTAAAGTCTTTCAGGAAGAATTTAAGTAATATTTTTTCTCAGAAATTTCTATAATTGACATAATACCTGAATATTATTTTAAATATTTGATTTATTCTTGTTATCTTAAGAACAGCTGTGAAAAAAAACGTTTTGAAGCCAAAAGACAAAGATTTGAGTGTTTGCTTGGTCATGTCCTAATTGTGTAAACTTGGCAAGCCATTTAACTTCTTCCAACCTTGGTATCCTCATCTTTAAAGTTCAGATCAATAATACCTATCCCAGTAGATTGTTACAAAAGCATTTCAAAGTTAACCATGTAGAATTTAAAAATGGATAATTTGGGGATGTTCATCTTTTGGGGTTGCAGTCATTGTGATGACTCTGTGCAACCTGTTCCCCACTGAGCAGCAGCAGTGCAATCTGGAGAATTGACTACAGTACTGGGGTGAATCTGATTAGTTTAAGAATACTTGCCCCCTCCCTTGCCAATAACTATTGCACTAATAAGCAAAGAAACAGGACAAGAGGTTCATTTGTGATTTTTCAATAAGTTCTTTCTTGTTCTGGGAGTGATACCCAAGAAGACTTTCAAGCTGAATATGAATAAGCAAGGTAGGTAGATAGCGACCCGGTGACCATAAGATGAACTAGTTTTAGATGAAGCTGTCAGTGTGAACTGTAAAGAAGAAACAAAGAAAGAACTTATGGCAATTTCATTATGCTGCTATCAACCCAACCAGAAATCTGATTTGCTGTTATGTAAGTCAATGAATTTCCTTATTTTTTTTTTAATTATTGACTGGGTATTCTGTTATATGAATTTAAAAAAACATCCTAAATGATATGGTGGAGCATCTTAACAGCTCTCCTCAGAGAAATACTCCTACCCTTTTTTATTAACAACCAAACTCACTCAAGAGTGAGTTTAAGCAAAACAGGGATTCAGTAAGGGGTATTAGGAAACTTGCTGAATCTTCTAGAGAGCCAGAATCACCCTTGGAAGACATACATGCAAAATATCACAAAAACCTTATCAATGAGGCTCCAGTGAAGGCTCATGGTAACTGGCATTGGGTAGGCAATTTGACTTGCCCAATTTACAACTTTCCCACTGATTATCCTGAACCTTTACCACTGTTGCCTCTGAAACTTTTGCTGGCATTCTCTTCAGAAAACCAAACATGCTATTTGTTTGCTTTATAATGCTGTTTTCATAATACAAATCTGACATATGCAAAACTTAGTATTGGCCTCATGCCTGAAGCCTAGCTTCATGGGAGTCTGAAAATTGAATTCTGCCTTCTATCTTAAGGCAGTAGGGCTTATAAAGAAAGAAATTCACCCAAAACAGAAAAAGGCATTTGAATAACAATGGGTAGGTCAGATCTAATGAAGGTAATAGTATGTAAAGAGTGTGGACTCTAGAGTCAGACTACCTGGATTTTTTCTGAACATACCATATAATAATTACATGACTCTAGATAGGATTATTTCACCCTTATGAATCTGTTTCTTTAATTGCAAAATGGCGTTATTAACAGTACCTACTCTGTAAGGTTGGTTTGGTGATTAAATAAAGTAAAGTTAGGCATGTGTATTATATATATCTGGAATTTAGAATAGTGTTTGGTACACAATATGTTCTTAATAAATATTTACTATTTCATTTTTACAATTTTTAGGGACATAACAAAGCAGAAGTAAGAAAATCACGTGATCTTTCTCTCCAGACCGAGAGACAAATTCTGAAAGAAAAACTGCCAGAATCATGGGCTGGGGTTGTAGCTCAGTGGTGGATCGCTTCCCTAGCACATGTGAGGCACTGGGTTCAATCCTCAGCACCAAATGAAAATAAATAAAATAAAGGTATTGTGTCTCTCTACAACTAAAAAAATTTTTTTTTTAAATCCTGCCAGAATCAGTCATCATAGGGTTTGAAATAAAGCTTATGAGAGTGGGAAATTGGCTGCTAAAGTAAAGTGAGTTTAGAATGATGGGTACTATCTTGACTGCTACAGATCAAGCCTCTGCATGCAGAATAAAGTCAATTTAAACTAAGAAATGGCCCAGTGTTTTAGATAAATTTATATCTGAATTTTCAGGTATGTGAACCAAAATATTCTTTGGTTTTAACTAATTATTCACTTTCAACTAAAAATTTATGATCAAAGTGTTCTTAGAGCTTTATAACAAATTTCTTTTTGGTTGGGGAGGGTACTGAAGATTGAACTCAGGGACACTCAATCACTGAGCCACATCCCCAGCCCTATTTTGTATTTTATTTAGAGACAGGGTCTCACTGAGTTGCTTAGCGCCTTGCTATTGCTGAGGCTGGCTTTGAACTCTCCTGCCTCAGCCTTCCAAGCCAATGGGATTACAGGCATGCACCACTTTGACCAGCTACAAATTTCTTTTGTTTTGCCTAAAGTGGCTCAACTTGGTTTATGCTACTTGCAATCAGAGGTTAACCAAACTATGATTTCCAAGTTAAATCAACTGTCTTAATTAACATCTTGTTAGGACATATCAACATCTGGTTCTGACCCAAGAGTCATTCTAATTCTTTGTTTACTTGTTTTTATTTTTTAATATTTTAGTTGTCAATGGACATTTATTTTATTTTAAACATTGTGCTAAGAATCAAACCCAGTGCCTCACACACACTATACAAGTGCTCTACCACTGAGCCACAACCCCAGCCCCTGTTTACTTGTTTTTACTTGACATGTAATAAATATACATATTTATGGGTCACAGTGTCATGTTGTCATCTAATTCTTTTAAAATGTGAAATAAAATGGAGAAAATTTAATTTACCAAAATTACAAAGAGGCTCAGTAGAGCAGACAGCCCATACTAGCAGAAGCTATTGCCTACAAAGTAAAGTGTACTTTGTCAGTGGTGGCAGGAAAGCAGAATGTCAGAAAGCTGTGTAGCACACAATGTGATCCCAGCTCTTTGACATCTCTTCAGTAAAATAATTGTATTCATATGTTTTATTCAAGTAGATATTTTCATGGACTTTAACGTAGGAACAGAACAGAGAGAATAACCACAAAAGTAGAAATAGAGCTATCACCTATAAAGAAATAGAGTCTGCAGAAGGTGTGGAAAAGCTTTTTGCTATTTTGGGCCACTGAAGATAAATCAAGTTCATTCATTCATATGTATATGGATGGATGAAGAGAGAGAGAGATTTTTTTTCAGTGCTGGGGATGGAAATTGGGTGTGTATGTATATGTGTGTGTGTGTTCCTAGGGATCAAATCCAGGGCCTTATGCATACAAGTGTTCTACTACTGATCGTGTTCTACTACTGAGCTATATACCTCGCTCTCTCCTATATTTTTAAGGATCAGGAAAGCCCTGTTTGATATCAGAGCTACAGATGATTTCAAATAAACCAACTTTAATCAGTGAATTAAAGCGGATATAAGTTTACTTCTCTGAAGGCAATCTCATTTCCAAGATTCATACCTCACAGAGGCTCTCATTCAGTTTCAGAAGAGGTTGTTAGAAATGTTAACGTAGGTAAGGCAGGCCACAGTTGAAATATGGACAAGAGAGAGACAGATGGACAGAGGAAACACTCAAGCATTCGAGAGGGACAAAAGTAGTGGCAACAGACCTAAATGTATCTAAAATCAGTCCATGTACCTGGCATTATTGACGCATCTTCCAAAGATTATCAATATTTTATATAAATATATATGGAGAAAATTTAATATATATATTATATATTATATATATATAATTTATATATATATAAAATTTGCCATTGTTGAATGTAACATTGAGTGGATTTTTGTCTAGTCATAAGATTGTGCAACTATCAATACAAAATAGTTCCAGACCATTTTCATCATCCCAGAAAAAAACTGTACCCATTAGCATCACTTCCCATAAACCCTCATCCTCACAGTCCCTGGCAATCATTTATCTACCTTCTGTTTCTATGGATTTGTTTATTTCAGACATTTCATATACAAGGAATCAAACGATATATGGCCTTTTATGTCTGTTTGTTTGTACTTGTCATTCATGTTGTATGGATTTCCACAATTCCTTTCAAGGGTACACCTAAGGACCTCCCACTAGGCCCTACATCACTGATTTTTTTTTTTTTTAAGATAGGGTCTCCTATGTCGTCCAGGCTGGCTTCAAACTCAGGACCTTCTGCCTAAGGCTTCTCAGTAGCTGGAATCACAGGCTAGTGCCACCATAAGTGGCTTAGGCCTTACCTCTTAAAGACCAAGTCTTTAGCATATGGACCTTTGGGTGGCAGTACCCACATTTAAGCCATAGCACCAAGGAATTCCTAAGCATGTCAAATAATAACAGTTATCTGTGAAATGGGTTTTAAAGGGAGTCAAATCATGTTCTTTCCCCTCCAAAAGCTGCTAAATCAATGGTTTTCACTGTTACTGTTCTGTTTTTCTAAGATACCATGGGATTGGGAGAAAAATATAGGCCTAAGGCAAATTACTATCCCAAATACTTCCCTGTTGTTACCAAGTTTCAGCTGTTTTTCTTGTACACACAATGCTGGGATTATTATTAGTTAATTTCCAGAATTCTAAAAAGTTGATATTGACTATTTTTTTTCAGAGTTCTTGTTGATTTTTTGGAAGGGAGAATTTTTAGGAATCTTTATTCCATCATTCTGGCTAATGCACTCCACTAATTTTTCATATAATTATTTGTTTTACTTAAGTTGTATGTGAATCCCTATCCTACTGTACCCTTCCCAAATGGAGATGATAATTTAGCTGAGGCTCATATGGAAAGTTTGGGGTCATTTGTCATAAAACATTTAACACTTAGTAAGCAAACTAAGTTGTTTAGTGCAGTACTGCATATATAGCACATACAGGAAAGTGAATATGTGAGCGTAATTGTGCTTGTCAATACTTGCCACATGGTAGTGTCTCTCTCCTTTTACATGGCACAACTCTGCTACTAATTCATAAGATGTCCACTGCACAAATACCGGGTGGGGTCCACTGGTGAGAGAACGAATGCATCAAGTGCAGGGGGGCTAATGTTACAGAAGCTCAGTCAATGACATGAAGAAAGTTCAAATACTCAAGATTCTAGTTGTTACCATGGCAACAATATTATATAGGAATTTACAGAGTATTTTTTTTCCAATACTGAGGGCTGAACCCAGGAAGTCTTTACCACTAAGTTACATGTCCAGCCCCTTATATTTCTTATTTGGAAACAGGGGCTTGCTAAATTACTGAGGCTGGCCTCAAACTTGTTATCCTCCTGCCTCAGTCACCCAAGCTGCTGGCATTACAGGTGTGTGCCACCACGCCCAGCTGGAGATTTACAGACTTAAGAAACCGTTGTAGTTAAAACTGATAAATACTTATTTAGAAGTCCCACTTTTCTATTTCGATTACAAAGTCAAAACTTTATAACAGGTCATTGAGTTACAACATCTTAAGTTAATGATGCTTCATTATAATTATTGTTTTTTACACTTTATCAAATCATTTGACTTAGGGAGAGATTTTAGAGTGGAGGGAGGTAATAGAGACGTTTCCTTCAAGAGACTGTAGCAAAGACCATTCAGCTGGTTCGTAGCAGAGTCTAAGGAGGTCATTGATATTTCCCAAAGATATTCCTATTCATTCAGTGAATACCGAAGCTTAAGCTCCCAGGAATTCAGCAGGAAAGGGCCAGGTTAGCTCACCTGTGCTTTCCCTCGCCTGTCCAGCGCGCCGCCCAAACCGCACTAGCATCTCTAACTAGTAGCACACCGCGCGCCCAAACCCGGATAGGAGACCAGCGCAGAGTAGCCTCCTACCTACCGAGTGTTTCCCCGACCACTTGGTTGCTTAGCAACGCTACCGGAAGTGACGCAGACTGTCGCCGAGGACCCGGGAACGCACCCTAGTAGAAGGAGAGGCTGGGGATCTGAGGCTGCGCTTGCGCGGAAAGCGGAGGTCGGGCGGGTGAGTGGGCGGCCCTAGCGGGCAGGCGCCGGGGCGAGGCCGGAGGACCGGACCCGCGGGAGCCGCGCGGACTCCAGAACGGCTGCTGGCTGCTGACTCCCGGCGTGGGTCAGTGAGGAGACCCCGGGCCCCGGCCCCGCCTGCTGCTCCCATCCCCACCTGGTGCGCGCCTCTCGGGGGTCGACCCCGAAGAGGTCCCGACGCCTTCGTTCGGGGTGGACCCAGCAGGTGTGTTGAGTGCGAGGCCTGGGCTCGGTGTGTGTGGCCCACAGACCTCCTCGCGGGTGGAATGTGAAGGGAAAGCCCTCCTTTAACTCTCAAACCCAGGGATTGACACAAAAGCTATATTTAAATGATTTGATTTCTGAGGTATTGATCAGGGCTAGGTGGGGCTGTTTTTTTTTTTTTTTTTAATAGGACTATTAAAATCTGGATGTTGTCCCCAAAACATTCATGTTTGGACCTTTAAGCTATTTTGAGCCGCCTCGTAACTAAATGATAGTAAATTGAATGTATTTTGAAGACCAGTCAGATCTCTATAACGACACAAAAATCGGTGAAGAGTGAGTGTGCGCTCTTGGTTTCAAAAGATCCTTCTCAAACACCTTGATGTACAGATGATTTCATTACTAACTAGTTGCCTGCAACACGTATACATTAGGCATCAAACTGATGTCACTCAAAATGAAAGCACCTAAGATTTTTAATAAGTAAATTTCTAACACTTAGTTGTGCTATTTTTTCTTCAGGTTTTCTATCAGATGTTCCACTGTAATAATGCTGGTAAGTATGGAAAGATTAATAAAATATTTATATTAATCGTAATGCTAACAAAATGTTGTGCACATACAACATTTTGGGGGAGCATAGCTTAAAACTCATCAAGAACTGGGAAGGGTGGGAGATTTGACCCTGTTTGCAGGCTAAAAACAGCCTGTCACAGTTTTGTACAAGACCCAAGAATCCTAGGTCAGAGATGAATGAATTACAGCAGTAGCCAGAATATCAACAATTTTTCCTCAGTTCCCCCAAGCCAGAGTGTTGTGAAGCAGGCCAAAGTCATGTGGATGTGGAGTGAGCATCACAGGACAGGAACTCTGAGTTGAGGGAACTCAAATCTTTTTTTTTTTTTTTTTTAAATGGACAGCAGACTTGTCTTTCAAGGCTACAACTGTTCAAACATCCTCTAGACAGTAGTCCAGAGCAATGGACTGTGACTGCATTGCTTTTAAGATGTGCAAAATCATCAGAGATCATGGGGTATTGAGTCCCAACAAAAATTCTGTAGAGTTTTAACAAAAAGTATTGAATCTCATAAGATTTGATGTCAGAAATTTGCCAGTTTGACATGGTCAGATATTATTGACACCAGGTTGCAACTCTAACCTGTACATCTTCACAAACAAGTTGATCTAGAGTTAGTTATTTGTTGTTCTTTGCCTCTCACTCTTATTTTTTTTGTTGTGAATTTAAGAAGATAGCATTTGCACAATGATCTGAAACAGAGTTTAAGTTATTCTGGGGAATTTTTTTTTTTTAACATGATTAATGTGGAAGGTAGAAACTGCAGTTGAACTACTCATCAAGACCCTACTGCTGTGCACAAGAACATTTCTTTTTTAAAAAACAAAAAGGGATTATAATGTAAACACTATTTTGTGAACTGAACATCATAGCTTTTACTGGTTGAATAAATATTCCTTTAGATTGCTATCAGACACATACTTGATTTAATCAATCCCCAATTCTTGAATGTCTGTGTAGTTTCCAGTTTTCATTGTTATAAAAAGCACATAGGCTGTCATTACCTTTTGGAAACATTGCAGACATACCTCATAGATGCTGCTTGTGGGGAATAGTTAATAACTGTTTTTGGAATTTTAACAAATAGGTTTCAAATAGATTTACATTCTTAAAACTAAATCTTTGTGCACTTAATATTTTGGAGTTTTTTTTTTATTTTGAGTACATCACTAAATCTCTGAATGTTTACTGAAAATGAAGTGTGATATTTCTTTATTGCTTAATGAGTAAAAAATACTGGAACATGGAAATCTCAATTGGCTTAACACTTGTGATTTTATCCAATGGATAAAATATTTTTCCATATGCCTTTCCCTGTTTTGTATTTATTTAAGGTTATTTGTGTATTCAAAGGGTTTTATCCTGTTGCCAAAAAAAAAAAAAATGCTTTTCTGATACAAGAAAAACAGCATAATTAGAAAATACAACTTTTAAAATATTTTTATTAATTTTAGGAGTTAAGCGGTTTCCATTTCTGTGCTCCAAATCAGAAGACTTTTTTCCCTGCATACAGTATAGGAGAAATGTTTAAAAACAATTGGCAACTGACTGGTGTTTAAAACTGAAGATTGTCATGACTGTTTAACCTAAACTCTATGCTGAAGTAAGATTAATTGTATTGGAAATACTAATTTCGGTAAGTATTTTTTCTTTCTTTCTTTCTTTTTCTTTTTTTTTTTTTGTGTATGTGGTGCTGGGGATTGAACCCAGGGCCTTGTGCATGCAAGGCAGGTACTCTACCTACTGAGCTATATCCCCAGCCCCAAGTATTTTTAGTAAAGGTATATGCTGAATGGTGAAAGAAAAAAGATCTAAAATTAAGAAAATATATTCCTAGGTCAGCATTAAAGCCACGTTAACTTCAATGTCATGATATTTTGAGTCTAACAGTTCAGAAATGTCAGTAATTTATTATACACTAAATATAGGCTCGAGGCAGTTTTCAACCAACAATAAGTTACATTAGTTTTTTTTTTTTTTTTTTTTTAATAGGAGCTGGGAATCAAACCCAGACCTTCATACATGCTAGTCAAGTGCTTTACTTCTGAGCTTCACCCCGAACCCTAGAAAATTTTTTAAAATTACAAATGCCAAATGCTTATAATAATGTTTAATCTAAAATGTGCTTATAGTACTAATGTGATCATCAAATATGCCTTATTACTATTTATTACATTGGTTCTATGGAAAAGTGAATTCTTCATTTAAATCTCTGGGAGCCAGTAACAGAAACCTGGATTAAGCATTTATAATACAAGGATCCAAAGTGTTAACATATTGTGTACCATCTAAATTCATACAATAGGATTTTCTAACTTTGAGAGAAAGAATACTTTCTCATGTGTGCTTCAAGAGCTCTATTCTGTCTTTACTACATATCTTTTGTAATAAACCAGAAAATGCATGTGGTTAAATGGTATGTTTCCCATTTTTAATTGATTTCTTCCTTTTCTTATTGGTGGAGTTCTACACTTTTTTTTTTTAGGATTTCTTGCTAAAATCTCAGGATGGTTATAAATTGGATCACAAATGTGGTATTATAATTAGTGTGTATTTTGAGACTAATGAATATTTTTCTATAATTAAACATGTTTTTAACCAAGATAGCCTACTTTGTAATTTTTTTTTAAGTTGTAAATGGATGCAATATCTTTTTTTATTTAGTTTTTATGTGATACTGGGGATCCAACCCGAGGCCTCACACATGCTAGGCAAGCACTCTGCCACTGAGCTACAACCTCAGCCCCTGTATTTTATTTTTAAAGTAATGTATACTTTTTAATATTCTGTTTCTTTGACACTGGAGTGTTGTACTTCAAAGCAAAAACCTTGGAATTAAGCTGAGTCCAAAATTTCAGTTCTACTACTCAGCTACTTTTAAGTTTCAGTTTATATTTTTAGGATGAGGATAATAATAATTTTTACTTAATAATATGTAAAAATTAAATGTGATGATGATTGTAAGTCCCCAGTCCCATGCCTTGCATATAATGATTACTCAAAAATATTTGCCAATTTTTTTTCTTTTTGTTTGCACACACAAGTTCTAGCCTTTCCTGGGTATTCTATATAATTGCTAACTTTTTTCACATGATAACATTTATACTGTCTGTTGACCTGCTTAATTTTCCCTTTTCTCTTGTGATTTATAATTAATGGTTTTCCTTATTTTTTTCTTTCTTTTTTTTTGTATTGGGGATTGAACTCAGAAGCACTCAACCACTGAGCTACATCCCCAGTCTTTTTTTTTTTTTTTTTTTTTTGTATTTTATTTAGAGACAGAGGTCTCACTGAGTTGCTTAGGGCCTCACTAAGTTGCTGAGGCTGGCTTTGAACTCACGATCTTCCTCCTCCTCCTCCTGTGTCAACCTCCTCAGCCACTGGAATTACAGGCATGCACCATCTCGCCCAGCTGTTTTTGTTGTTTTCTAGTTAGAAACACTGAAAATAGAGACTAATTTGTTCCATCACAAGTAGTGTTATTACTCAAGTACATTCAGAATATTTGGCCCTCAAAGCTGAACTATCTAAAGAAGATGTAAATTAATGTGAAAACTATTAACAAGAATTATTTTGGTTTGAAAGAATTGAATTGACCGCCAGTTCTCAAATAATTCTTTTAGAATTTTCATGATAACATTAAGCAGTCACCTAGTTATAACATTGGCATTTAGAAATTAATTTCAGCTAAATACCTTTTTAAAAAATTATTTTACATTTTATAGGATTACATGCTATGTTAAATTTGTTCAGAATTTTAGTTACTAAAATTATATGGAGAATCCCTATTATTTATGACCTGTTATTTAATGTGAAAATTATTGAAAATATAATAAGGTAATAAAATAAGTATGACTGATTGATAATTTAAAGATAGTAAGGATGATTCACTTGACTTTTCTTCTGTCTTATAACTTTTATAAATTTGACTATAAGAGATTACTTCATAAATTTCCTTTCTGGATAGCTCTGTAGTTTCATTCTGAGTGCTCAAAGAATCATCCCCACAGAAACATGATAATGCTGAGTATCCTTTCTAGATATTTTGTTTTCGATTCACTTAAAATACTCAAATATGGCCTGTGCCTCTTAGGAAAAAGTGATTAAGTGGTGATCTTAATATGCTTAATCACTTGTTCATATTCCTTGTTTAGCAGATTAATAGTTACTTAGGCTTTAAAATTAGTTTAATAGCCAGTATGCAAACACAGTATGTTTAGGGAATCATATTTCTTCTTTTTCAGGGTAACCCAAATCTATTTCTGGAACCATGAAAATTTTGTTGGTGTTTGACTTTGACAATACAATCATAGATGACAATAGTGACACCTGGATTGTGCAATGTGCTCCAGACAAAAAACTTCCTATTGAACTACAAGATTCTTATCAAAAAGGATTTTGGACAGAATTTATGGGCAGAGTCTTTAAGTATTTGGGAGATGAAGGTGTAAGAGAAAATGAAATGAAAACAACAATGACATCAATACCTTTCACTCCAGGGATGGTGGAACTTTTCAACTTTATAAGAAAGAATAAGGATAAATTTGACTGCATCATTATTTCAGATTCAAATTCAGTCTTCATAGACTGGGTTTTAGAAGCTGCCAATTTTCATGATATATTTGCTAAAGTGTTTACAAATCCAGCAGCTTTTGATAACAATGGTCATCTCACTGTGGAAAATTATCATGCTCATTCTTGCAATAGGTGCCCAAAGAATCTTTGCAAAAATGTAGTTTTGGTAGAATTTGTAGACAAACAGTTACAACAGGGAGTGAATTATACACAAATTGTGTATATAGGTGATGGTGGGAATGATGTCTGTCCAGTAACCTTTTTAAAGAAGAATGATGTTGCCATGCCACGGAAAGGATATACTTTACAGAAAACTCTTTCCAGAATGTCTCAAAATCTTGAACCTATGGAATCTTCTATTGTAGTTTGGTCTTCAGGTGTTGAAATAATTTCTCATTTACAATTTCTAATAAAGGAGTAATATACCAACAATTGAAATGTGTATTAGTTAAGATTAGGTTCATCAGCATAAAACTAAGACCCTTAACACTAGTGGCTTAAAACAAAAAAAGAAAAAAAATCCCCTCTCTCTTCAAAGAAGTCCAGAAGTATTTCAAGGCTGCAGTGCTGCTCTACCAAGCACTTGGCTTTCAACTCATTAGGTTGTGTAAGCTCCAACACTCACAGCAACATTCTGGCTAGCAAGAAAGAGGGCAGTGAGAAGGTTACAGCTCCTGGTTTAAGGGAATTTCCCAGAATTGTACCCAAGATGTCTTTTAAATACCATTGATGAAAACTTAGTCATAATACCCCACCTAACTGCAAGGAAATGGCAAATACAGCTTTCCAGGTGGTCATGTGTACAGGAAAAATTGGAAAAAAGAGAAGTACAAAATTGAGGTAGGTAAAACCAGTGGTCTATGCCAAAGGTATAGTTGGATTATGTTTTTTAACTTATTCCTAGAGAGAGTGGCCAAATTTTCTTAAGATAATTATTTTCAAAAGTATATCCAGTAGTTTCAGATCTTAAAAGTAAGCCTGATGCCTTCCCCCGCCACCCCCGGTTATTTATTCATATAAGAAAAAGAGGCTTTTAGCTGGGCACAGTGGCACATTGCCTGTAATCCCAGCAGCTCAGGAGGCTGAAGCAGGAGGATTGCAAATTCAAAGCCAGCTTCAACAGTTTAGGACCTAAGCAATTTACCAAGACCCTGTATCAGGGCTGAGATTGAGACTCAGTGGCAGAGTGCTTGCTGTTGAGAGCCACAGCGGAAGGGGCCCCAGCAAACTTTCAGACTGCCAGCTGATGATTGGCTCACAGGGGCCCCAGCAACTTCTAGCTGATTGGCTCCTCTGCCATGATGCTCATTGAGCTGTTTCCCCGCCCTTTCAGACTACAGAGCTGCTCATTGGGGGACTTTTTTGGCTCCACCCACGCGACCCAGCCAATCAGCCTCAAGAGCAGGAGTGGGGGAGGTTGAGAGGCTTGTGGGAAGCCGGTGGTGGCAGTTGGGCTCTGAAGGTTTTTCCTGAGGAGCTGTTTTGTTTGGCTTGTGTGGTTCTAAAAATAAAGGTCGTTTCTTTTGACAAGTGGCTCCTGAATTGTGCCCAGCCAGACTGCGGCAGCTTGCCTCACACATATGAGGCAATGGGTTTGAAACTCAGCACCACATCAAAATAAATAAAATAAAGGTATTGTGTCCATCTACAACTTAAAAAAAAAAAAAAAGGTGCCCCATACCTCTGCTGGGGATGTGGCTCAGTGGTTAAGCACCCTGGTTCAATCTCTGGTACCAAAAACAATAATAGTAAGAGGCTCTCTCTCAAATCAGTGTATTTTAAAGATAGAGATGCTGGGTCTGGGGATGTGGCTTAGTGGTAGACACTTACCTAACACAGAAGGTCATGGGTTCAATTCCCAGCACCATTAAAAAAAAAAAGTGGGGAGACTGGGGTTGTGGCTCAGCAGTAGAGCGCTTGCCTCACATATGTGAGGCACTGGGTTTGATCCTCAGCACCACATAAAAATAAATAAACAAAGGTATTGTGTCCATCTGCAACTTAAAAATATATATTTTTAAAAAAATAGATGCTGGGCTGGGGATGTGGCTCAAGCGGTAGCGTACTCGCCTGGCATGTGCGGGGCGTTGGGCTCGAGCCTCAACACCACATAAAAATAAAATAAAGATGTTGTGTCCACCAAAAACTAAAAAATAAATATTAAAAAAAATGGATGCAGTATTTATTGTCCAAGTTCTCATCAACTTTATTTCTTTTTGAAATAAAATACATATTAATGTCCTTCAATTATCTTAAGTTTATGTCTTAGCATCATAGACAATAACTAGTATGTTGGGTTTAATCAGTGTGTTATTTCTATTTGGCAATGTAGTCTTTTTTTTTTTTTTTTTTTTTTTTTGATAGTGGGAGTACCGGGGATTGAATTTAGGGGCACTTGACCACTAAGCCACATCCCCAGCCCTATTTTGTATTTTATTTAGAGACAGGCTCTTACTGAGTTGCTGAGTGCCTTGCTTTTGCTCAGGCTGGCTTTGAACTCACAATTCTCCAGTCTCATCCTCCCAAGCCCCTGGGATTACATGTGTGCACCACTGCGCCTGGTGGCAATGAAGTCTTGATCAATAAAATAAGTAATTTGTAGGACTATTCAACATTTAAGAGACTTTCATATAGGGATATCAGCAAAATATCAACTAATATAGAAATTTTTACAAATCTATTCTAATTTCTTTTTTTTTAAAGAGAGAGAAAGAATTTTTTAAATATTTATTTATTTTTTTTTTGGCAGACACAACATCTTTGTTTGTATGTGGTGCTGAGGATCGAACCTGGGCCGCACGCATGCCAGGCGAGCGCGCTACCGCTTGAGCCACATCCCCAGCCCCCTATTCTAATTTCTAAACTCATGTTTTAGCCATAAATACTCAGTATGTAATAATATTAGGATTTTCTTTTCCAAATTATGTGAAGCTCCAGAAATATAAATATTCAGAATAATTTAATGAGGAAAAATTGATACTCTGCAATCTTTTTTAAGTTAAAAGGTAGATCTCTGTTTTGCTTTAATAGGTTAGATTATATTGAAAATCATCTATTCTTATAAATTACATTTGTGTATGCTCAGACCACTAACATTAAAAATTATAGAACTAAAAAAAATTAGATTTTTGGACTAGGACTGTAGCTCAATAATGCTTGCCTAGTATGTGGAAGGTCCTGGGTTAAATCCCTCCCTATACCACAAAAATACATAAAATAAGTTTCATTTACAGTAATGGTCGACCAAGTGATTTTCTGCTGAGCATGAAAGCTGACACTTGAACAAAATGTCAAAAACATCTGCTTAAAGACTACAGAGAGCTGACAACAATGAAGAATTTCTAAGAAACTTTGGTAAGTAGACTGTTTTCCCTGTAAATTGCCCTATCTGTAAGTGGTAGCTGAGGCATTAAGGGGTTATGTTGATAACTTCATGAGACCAGAGGAAGAGACACTGAAGTATGTCTGCATTGGTAAAGCTTTTCGCTCACTTTGAGTCAGGGGAAAAGGATCCTAAGTAGTGCTCATTAGGAGTAAGAATGATCCAGAAGTAAATATACTTTTAAAGGGATGGCTTTAAATACTCTGTCTCTGAAATTGTATTGAATCTAAGATTTTTAGAGTTCCAAGGTGCCTGGCAAAAGCAAATCTAAATTTACTTCTTATGAGGACTAGGGATAGAAGACTCTTAAACTAATCCCTGTCATTTGGTATTCCTTGTGTGTGTGTGTGATCTATGGCTTGTTTCAAATCAATAAAATAACATGAAGATGACGGTGTATACATGATTGTGTATAAATGATTACATCAAATGCTCATGCCCATCTTAAGAGCAAACTGACATGTTGAAGCTGGCTGCTGGAAGAAGCCACATGGCCAGCAAGTGAGGGTGGTCTCTAGCCCTGATTCCAGTATTCTGCAAGGAACCAAATGCTGCCAGCAACCTATGATTTTCGAAGTGAACCTGCTTCAATGGAGCTTCAACTGAGACCAGCTAACACTATGATTGTAACCTTAGACCATGAAGCAGAGGATCTTACAATTAAGACATTAAATTTATAGAAATATTGTTATGCAGCAAAAAGAAACTAACATACTAACATACTAGTCCTCAAAATAAATGTGACCAGGCACGTGGCACACACCTGTAATCCCAGAACCTTGGGAGGCCGAGGCAGGAAGATCCCAAGTTCAAGTACAGCCTTGCTAACTTAACAACTCACTAAGAAACTTTGCAAGACCCTTCTCAAAAATAAAAAGGGGACTGGGGTCGTGGCTCAGTGGTAGAATGCTCACTCAGCATGCACAAGGCACTGGGTTCGATCCTCAGTGCCACATAAATGTAAAATAAAGATATTGTGTCCACCTAAAAAGAACTAAAAAAGAAACACTTTAAATAAATAAAATAAAAAGGGCTTGAAATGTAACTCAGTGGTAAAGTTCCTCTGGGTTCAATTCTCAGTACTCCAAAAATAAATAGATCTGTGAAGTTTTGCAAGCACATTGTAGGGTACACAATAAAAGTAGCCACACAAAGAGACATGAGTGAAAACCAGCAGAAATTGTTTTTTTAAACACATCTGCAGGACCTCCAGATATTGGAGTCCTCAGAGACAAACTTCTGAGAATTTTGGCAAAGAACTGAAAATTATATTAAAAACAAAATGGAAATACTAGAAATGAAAATCAGAATTTTAATGAATAGATCTGACAGCAGAGCAGGCAATAATGAAAAAGAATTGGCGAATAAACACAAGTTAGAAGAAAATAGAATGATGCAAAGAGGGACAAAACAATGAAAGTACAAAAGAAAAATGTTGCAAAAAGATCTAACATAGGAAAGAAGTGTCCCAGGGGAGAAGAATATAGTTTGTAAGATAATGACAGAACTTCACAAAATTGATGAAAGACATCAAACTAGTTTTAAGAACTAATATCAACTGGACATAATAGTGGTAGACACCTGTATTTCCAGCTATTAGGTGAGACTGAGGCAAGAGGATCTCTGGAGCCCAGAAGTTCAAGGCCACCCTGAGCAACATAGCTGGAAAAAAGAAAGAACCTATGAACCCCTAAACAGGATAAAAAAAATGAAAAGCAAATAGGGGTATGTATATCTCAGTGGTAGAATGCATGCTTAATGTGCACAAGGCCCAGGATTTAGTCCCCAGCACCAAAAAAAAAAAGAAAGAGAAATCACATTATAAAACTGCTGTTGTAGCTCAGCGGTAGAGTGCTCGCCTAGCATGTGCAAGGCCCTGGGTTTGATGCTCAGCACCACGTAAAAACAAATAAACAAAATGAAGGTATTGTGTCCAACTACAACTAAAAATAAATACATGTTTTTAAAAACCTGCTGATTAACAAAAATGGAAAGAGTATAAAGCAGCCAAAAATAAATATTACATTAAAAGAAGCAACAATGAAAATAA